GAAACCCAACTTGATGACCCGGGAACCCCTAGTTAGCGCCTTCGGCGCCACGAACGGCAACTGGCGCTCACAGAAATCCCTCATGGGCCAGCCCACGAATGCGAGGCGACACGAATTGAATTCTTTTTTATAGCGCAAAAAATACTAGAAAAAGGCACTACTAGGAATCAAACTCTCACCCCTACACTAGTACACACGCCTAACCATTGGACCTTATGAGCTATAGTGACTAAATTCATGGCGTATTATTTAAGAACGATGGCAGCCACGCTATCTATTGCACAAAATATTGTACGATTTACTTTATAGCTTAGATTTTCGAATTTTTTGAATACATTTTTGAAAAATGTTATTTTTTTGAAAAAAGTGAACAACATTTGAAAGTTCTCAGGTTTCAAAATAATTTCGTCTATTCAAAAAAAAGTTCATGAAATCAAAAAGAAGTTCATGTATTCCAAAAAGAGTTCACAAATTAGAAAAACATGAAATTTCGAACTAAGTTCGCAAATTTGAAAAATATTATTTGGAGAAATTTCATCAAATTTGAATTTTTTTAATCGAATATTTAAAGAAATGTCATAAAATTTGAATTTGTTTTAATTGAATTTGAAAAGGTTCATCAAAATTTAAAAAGTTTTATCAAGTTTTTAAAAAGTTCATCAATCTTTTTTAAAAAATCATTGAATTTCAAAAAGGTTGATCAAAACTGAGAAAAGGTTCATCGAATTTGAAAAAAAATCGTGGATTTTGATAAAAAAAAGTTCATTGGACTTGAAAAAAGTTCATGAATTTTTGAAAAAAGTGCACAATTTTAATAAAAAAAGTTCATCGTCCATAAAAAGTTCATCAAATCAAGAAAAATTTCACGTATTTGCAAACAATTCATCGAACCAGGAAGAAGAAAAAACAAAAAAGGAAAAGGAAAACAAAAAAGGGAAAGGGGAAACGAAAAAAAAGAAAAAAAGGAAAAGAAAAACAGAAAAGGAAAATGAAAGAAGAAAAGGTTAAATCTTAACCGTTCACGCTAGGTGGCGTGGTGGTTAGATGAGCCTAACTAGAGAAGGGAGGTCGCTGGTTTGAATCATGATAAGAGCACACAGAAGCTAAAAACTCTAGATGGGCCGGCCCAGCGCGGGAGCGCTGCAGGCGCCCGTTAGCAAAATGCCCTATAATGGGCGCATGCAGCACCAAGTAGGGTTTACCTAATGACCCGGCCTGAGACTGGCTCAAAATTTCCATACCAGGACGGGTGGGGGTTGTCTCCATTGCTAGGTTAGGGCCTCTTTTGTGCCTTGAAAGATAATGTAAGGCATGCTTAGACTTCTATTTTTAGCCCAGAAGTAGTGACGGCGCCTCTCCGGTAACATAAGATTGAAGCAAAGTCCAGAGGCCCAAAAGTCCATCCTGCACAAAGCCATGAGCATATTTACCCATCCCTCAAAACATTATGCAATAAAGAGTAGACGATGATTTTAAAAAATATGAGCACATTATTGCGCGCCCCACCCGTTTGTAACCCTAGTTACCATGCCCCCTCCCCCGGTGCAACAATGGCACCACTCGCCAACCCTTTTCCTCTATACTGCCTCCACTGCAGGGCCAACCCTACCTCCTGGTCTCATTTGCCATCGTAGTGGATTCATGTTGTAGAGGTTGACACCGCTTGCTGAGGCTGACAACGACCTAGACGTTTTCGCCCTCATCGAGCGGAAGATGCGACGCAAGTGTTGTGCCATTGAGCTCGCCGGCTCCGACAACATCACCTCCTTTGCCATCATTGAGGTGCTTGGCTCCACCATCAACAACAACTCAAGAAGTACTCCCAGGGTATCATGAAGCTTGTCGACCTCACCCTACTCTGTCGGCAATGGAGTTTCATCCACCCCATCCTCCACTTCTACCCTCCACCTCGATGTTGTTGTTCGCGACCATCATGTTCTCCCTCAGTGTTGCGGCGCTCCACCGACCTAGTTCACCTCAACCGGTGTTTGTGCTCCTAATCCGGCAATTTTGTTTTGTGACGCTACTTTTTCGTTCTATAATGATGTTGTTCAAATATGTTTGTGAAATTGAATACATTTCAGAATGAGGGGAGAATAAAATAGTAGAAATAGTCTTATCATTGCCCATTTATACATGTATTGATATGACAATAAAGAACAACACATAATAGTATTACCTCTGTCCCAAATTAGTTGTCTAAAATTTATCTTGATACGGATGTATCTAACACTAAAACGTATCTTGACGGCAAATCTAAGACAACTAATTGGGGATGGCAGGTGACTCCGTGTTCTGCATAATTGACCAACTTGACTGAACCACGTGGCATTCCATTTCAAAAAGAAGAAGAAGAAAAAACTTGACTTAGTCGCTGAATGTCAGTAGTACTACTGCTAGTGCTGTACGTTTGCTGCTACCCTTTACTCACTAATGCAGACGTGCCGTAGAGCCTAATAAAGGACAACAGAATCAATCAAACCGGCTCTGTTATTCAAATATGATAGTACTCAATGGATCCCAATAAACAAGGAACAAACCTGCAGGATTGAAAGGTTTCTAAAGATCTTATGAATGATCGTTTATACTTAATATTTGCCTTGCCTTTTATCATCAGGACACCATGATCGTTTATGTTAACAATGGAGCATCTAGGTTTAATAGTAGTACTTTCTCCGTCCGGAAATACTTGTCGGAGGAATGGATGTATCTAGATGTATTTTAGTTCTAAATATATTCATTTTTATGCATTTCTATGATAAGTATTTTCGAACGGAGGGAGTACTTATTAGTGTTTACTATACTTCTAATCGGGTTGATGTATGTCCTGCACTGGACAGCATTCCACTGATTCTACTCGCTTTCTTGAGAGCCCTTGTTCGGTGATTTTGTTGATCGGGAGTGCTGGAGTAGTGACCCACTGCAACGACAATGACCCTGTTGGCTTCTTCCATTCATCAATGAGCTAGATATACATCTTAAATAGCAGTTTTTTTTGCGGAAACCTTAAATAGCAGAATTGGCATTAGGTTCTGTCTCTTCTGCTATAATTTGATTTCATGTCGAGTAATTAGTTCTTCCTTCTGCCCTCTGTCTATTTCACAGTTGAAGGGCAGAACTTAGTGGAGCAGGCATGCATCTGGTGAGCTAAAGTTCACACATTGAATAGATGATGCAGGGCAAGTACTTGGTTTGAGTGAGTTAATGGCATCTTCAATGCCGACTCTTAAACTGTCCGCATACGGGCTATGCGGTCCAGACCTGTTCTACCATTCAACATGGACTTATATCGGTCCGCCGAGCGATCCGGACATACTTTTTCCCGCAAATTGAAAGCAAAGTTGAGGGGGCTTTACGGTGGTACAGACAACAGCCACATAGGACTCTGTCACCCTGGCCCACTAGATCTCCCCTCCCGGTCACATTTTCTTCCAATCCGCGCCTTCTCCCCCTTTACTTTGCATACACACCCTATTCCTCCGACGCTACTGTTGTACCTCTCCAACCGCCGCACAAGCACTGCCGGACCTCCGCAACCAGCACCTACGTGCCCGCTCACCTTTTACAACGGTGTCGTCCACCCAGTACCCGTCTGTAGCCAGGTCTCAAGAAAGTTTTATAAGATCTTGAGATTGAAGTTTGTTTGTAAAGATTGAAATATGTCTATGATTAAGATTTTGTCATGTTCGTCGGGCTTCTCACTTTTGTCTTCGGCCAAGGTCGGGCATCTAGACACTTGACGTTTGGACTTCTGTAAGCCCCGCCTGAAATACGTAAACACACTTGAGCTAGACACTTGATTTAGAAAGGTGAATCATTCGTTGTTCACTGCTAAAAATCCACACATTATTTCCTTTTTGTTTAGCTCAATGTTAAATTATTTTGTCATCAAAACTATACATATGTGTAGTATATACATCCATATTATCGTGTAAAATTTGTTTTAGCGGTTTTTAAAACTTAAAAAATGTATGTTTTGAACTATTTGAAACAAAGTGCTCGCTAGCGCCCGTATTCCACGGCAGTGGCGAATCTAGAAAAAAATGGAGAGCGGGTTGGGCTGCCTGGGTCATACAAATATGTGTTGGATTGGGTCTGCAAGTAGCTGGGCTGGGCCTTAAAATTAGTAGTAGAAACAAATTTTACAGTGCTGGAGGGGGGG